TGGGTGTGGGGCCGGGGCTTTGGTGGGAGCCCTGGAAGGGGAGCCCTGCACCCTGAGTTGTATGGAGATGCGTGTGAGGTGCGGACCCCGAGCAGGCCCTGAGATCCCGCTGCTCGTTGCCATGGCGCCCGCTGGAGCTGCCGAGCGGGGGTGGGATTGGGGTGTAAGCGCTCCTCCAGGCCCGGCTCCCTAGGCCAGTCTGGGCCTTGCCTCGCGGGCTCGGGACATCGCTGGGACAGCCAGGGGTTGCCACCTGGCTCCGGCGAGGTGTTGTCTTTCACGATTATCTGCCCCCCCCCACCCTCACCCCCTTCCATTCAGATTCTTAATCTGCTGAGTATCTGCACAACTGCGGAGGAGTTGGAGCCCAGCTCCCCGTGTCTCCGGTTTCCCTTTGTGCAGCCTGGGGGTCCACCAAGGGCCAGGTCAGCATGGCAGAGACGCTGGAGTTCAACGAAGTCTATCAGGAGGTCAAAGGCTCCATGGTGAGAAGCATTGGCCTTTAACTCTGTGTGTGTGTGCACACGAGAGCTTGCTTTATGGAAGGAAGGGAGAGTGTGTGGTGTGTGTTAGTTAACAGCTTGCTTTAACGATGCTTCCTACTCCACCAAAAAAGGATCCTGCTGATTCCCTGTCAGACCTCTGCAATAAAGTGGATTTCAGAATAAAGCAAGTCACAGCTTTCTTTTTGGTTGTTTCCCAGTGCACAGAGAGGTTTTATTTATACCATCGGAGGTGTACAGTAGTATGATGAAAAAGTTTGCGTTACTGTGAGGATTACCAAAATGTGACAGTGTGCACACACAGTGGCCACAAAAGCCTTTGCGAAAGGATAGAAACAACCGCTGTATCTGCAAAGTGCAGTAGAAAGGTGATCAAATAAGGTGCACCTGGTGTATTCCTAGTAAAAGGCTGTGTTCGGAGGAATTCCTAGAGCAATAGTACCTTGGGGTAACAAGGCAGTTTAAATGCGTATCCTTTCTGAATCCCAGTCACAGGAAACTAGGCCTGCCAGGGCGTGGGGTCTAGTGCCAGGCTTAGACCCCTGGCTTCTTGCTGGCCCACCTCTTTACCTGCTGCTCCTACGTGGATCCCTGGCCTGCTCCACGCGCAGCAGACTGGGGTGCTAGTGTGACATATTACCTCCCCTGCATCTGCGCCTCCTTTTCCCACAGAATGATGGTCGACTCAGGTTAAGCCGCCAAGGCATCATCTTTAAGAATAGCAAGACTGGCAAAGTGGACAACATCCAGGCTGGGGAGCTGACCGAAGGCATCTGGCGCCGGGTTGCCCTGGGCCATGGCCTTAAACTGCTCACCAAGAACGGCCATGTCTACAAGTACGATGGCTTCCGAGAGTCGGTGAGCTACCTTTTTAAGATAAATCCCACTCTTTGCTGTGCTGTCTGGTAGCGTTTAATCTCTTAGAGAGCTCTGGGGAACCCTTTGTTGGATAGTCATGTCGTTGCCTTCTGGGGCCCTGAGAGCAGGGCCAAGCCTCATTTTCAACTACTAGCCAAAGATTAGTGGTTTGAGCCCGACACTGCAGTGCTACAGAAAAGAGGCCTGCCCATTGCTTCCCTAAAGACTGTCGCCCTCAGAAGCCGGTGGAGCATTGTCGTCTGTAATGCTGGGTTCACATGGTTTCACAATCCACGTGGTGGCTGGCAGTGGGCCCTGGTGCTGACTGTTGGAGCGGGGCATCAAGGCCATCGAGGTGTCAGGCCGCAGTCAAGTGTCTTGTGTGCCTCAGCTCCAGAAGATGCCCTCTTCTGATCAGATGGTGGTTTTCACACGTGGCCCTCACGTGATCGGGCGTCTCAGCGTTGTAGTTTTGCTATTCCATGTTGAGCTGCTTCTGAGTCGGGACTTTTCCTCATTTTGATTTTCACTTGGAGTGGTATCTGTGCAGAATTGAAAGTCTGAGGGCCCGTCACCAGGAGGTCAGTTCCTAATGTCTCCTGTCGCCCAGCATGAGGTTCATTCCCCCAAAGCAATCTTGGTCAACAGTCTTGTAGACTCTTTGCTGCCGAGACTCAAAGAAAGCATCTGTTGGGGCAGTTTCTCAGAAACGGCATCGCAGGACATCCGGGTCTGTTTCAGGACATGGGCTTACAGGGGTCATTCTCCCCTCCCCGTCCCCCACAGGAGTTTGAGAAACTCTCAGATTTCTTCAAAAGTCACTATCGCCTTGAGTTGATGGAGAAGGATCTGTGTGTGAAGGGCTGGAATTGGGGGACGGTGAAGTTTGGCGGTGAGTCCTTGGTAGCCTGATGTTTGGGGACGGAGGTAGGGTGAACTTGCCTGGCTCACTCATCCCTGCCACAGTCTCTGGCCGGCGATCTGCTTGTGTGTTCTTTGTGCACCGGGGTGCGGCGTGAACAACAGCTTGCACCACTCACAGTCTGGGGGGGTTCATGCAGGTTCCAGGGAGGAGCCTGTGGCTTGATTCCGTCCCCCAACCCCCCCTCCTTACAGGGCAGCTGCTTTCGTTTGATATTGGTGACCAGCCAGTCTTTGAGATCCCCCTCAGCAACGTGTCCCAGTGCACCACAGGCAAGAACGAGGTGACGCTGGAGTTCCACCAGAATGATGATGCCGAGGTCTCCCTCATGGAAGTGCGCTTCTACGTGCCTCCCACCCAGGAGGACGGTGTGGACCCCGTGGAGGTGAGCCCCGCCATTGGGACGCTTTGGGGGCAGACGGTGCTGAGCAGGCCTTGGCTGGGCCGGGAGCCAAGCTTGCCGTCCCCTAACCCATGGGCTGCTGCAGGCCTTTGCCCAGAACGTGCTGTCCAAGGCCGACGTGATCCAGGCCACCGGCGATGCCATCTGCATCTTCCGAGAGCTGCAGTGCCTGACTCCCCGAGGCCGGTATGACATCCGCATCTACCCCACCTTTCTCCACCTGCACGGCAAGACCTTTGACTACAAGATCCCCTACACCACCGTCCTCCGCCTCTTCTTGCTGCCCCACAAGGACCAGCGCCAGATGTTCTTTGTGGTAAGCAGCATCCAATGGACGGGGCCTGGCCCATGTTCAGGGTTCTGTGTTGGTGGAACAGCAGGTTTCTGTGGAGCATGTTGGTGCTTACCCTCGCCCCATCTTCTTACCAGATCAGCCTGGACCCCCCCATCAAGCAGGGCCAGACCCGTTACCACTTCCTGATCCTCCTCTTCTCCAAGGACGAGGACATCTCCTTGACTCTCAACATGAATGAGTGAGTGCCTCCCGGGACTGAGAGATACTGCTGGGGTCCGGGCAGTGGTGGAACTGCCCTTGGCAGGTGCCAGTGCTCATGTTGTTACCTCCTCTGATTCCAGGGAAGAGGTGGAGAAGCGCTTTGAGGGGCGGCTCACCAAGAACATGTCGGGGTCCCTCTACGAGATGGTCAGCCGCGTCATGAAAGCCCTGGTGAACCGCAAGATCACTGTCCCGGGCAACTTCCAGGGGTGAGCGTGCGGCCAGGGGTGGGGGCCTGAGGCCTGCCTTCGCAGCTGAGGGCCTGGGTCGGTACGTGTGCCACAGCTGTTGGAGGGTCCCCTTGTGTCGCCCACCCTCTGGCTGGTGGGGTCAGTGTTGACCAGCTTCCCTGTCCCCTCACCAGGCACTCTGGGGCCCAGTGCATCACCTGCTCCTACAAGGCGAGCTCGGGGCTGCTGTACCCGCTGGAGCGCGGCTTCATCTATGTGCACAAGCCGCCCGTGCATATCCGCTTTGACGAGATCTCCTTCGTCAACTTCGCCCGTGGCACCACCACCACGCGCTCCTTTGACTTTGAGATTGAGACCAAGCAGGGCACTCAGTACACCTTCAGCAGCATCGAGAGGTGAGCACCTTCTGGCCCAGCTGTGGCTGGGAAGTCCTGTGGCCGGTGGTCCTGACCTGATTTCTCTAGTGTTGGGCTGGGTGTTTCACTGGGCTTTCAGCTCCTCTCTGGAGGGCTCTGCATCCAGAAGGCGTGCTGATGGTTCTGCGGGCATTCCGCAGCTGTCCTCCTTGTTCAGTGCCAGCCTTTCTCCTCCTCCACATGCTCCCCCACCCCCACCCCATGGAAATGCTATCTCTTTGCTTTCCTGGAACAAGCATCGTTCTGAGAACACAGCAGCTGAGGTTGGCGAGGGCTCACTGCTGGCTAGATGCTTGATAACCATCTTTACATCTTGTCCCTCTGCAGCGTCCCTCTGGACTGGGAGATGCAGACTAGCAACACACTGAAAACTCCCCCTCGCACGGCGCTCTCACTGGGTTGTGTTCTGTGAGGGGGCTTCAAGATATTTGCAGGGGGGAAATCCTTTATCTCCTAAGCCTGTTCTTCACGAACCTTGAAGCCCCTTCAGACGTATCTCCCTCCCTCACCTGACTTCTTGTCCAGGACTGTCATTCGGCCCAGCCTTTAACTGTCCTAAGCGTCTCTGAGCTGGTGGCTTAGACATTATGGCCCAGAGTGGCGTCCCTCCTCCCTGCCCCACCATCTACCTGGCTGACCCCCAAGCATCAGAACACTGGTCTATCCATCCTGCCCTGGCCGGACCCATTGGCCACCGGGTATGTCTCTCCTCACAGGGAGGAGTATGGGAAGCTGTTTGATTTTGTCAACGCCAAGAAGCTCAACATCAAAAATCGAGGACTGAAAGAGGTACCTGTGCAAGGGGAAGGAGGGGCCTCTCGCCTGCCTTGTAGGTGGGGAGAGGCAGGGAGTTTCCCGACTTCCTTTTCACTCTCTCTTCTCTTCTCACCCTTATAGAAAAAAGAGGTGCGTGTGACCCCCTCCCCTCCTGGTGCAGGTTTCCTCAGCATGGCCTTAGCTCAGTCTCTGTAGCCCCTCAGGGCTCAATGGGGCTGGGACAGGGAGGGGCTTGGGCTAACCCAGCCGGGCAGGAAGTACTCTGGGCACAGGCCCTGCACGCGGCTGTGTGTGGACACCCCAGCCCCAGGGCCTTCTGGGGCTGCTGCTCTGACCTTACTCACAGGCATGGGGGCGTGTTGTTTGAGTGCAGGGGTGCCAGAGCCTGGGCGAGCCCAGGACCTCACTCCCACATCTTCCCTGACTAGGGCATGAACCCAAGCTACGACGAGTACGCTGACTCAGACGATGACCAGCACGATGCCTACCTGGAGCGCATGAAGGAGGAGGGCAAGATCCGGGAAGAGAATGCCAATGACAGCAGTGATGACTCTGGAGAAGAGACTGGTGGGTGCTGGATGCGCCTCAGGTGCTGGGCATGGGGCCTGGGCCAGGCTCCCTTCCGGGGCCCAAGCCGGTTGTCTTAGTGAGGCAGCGGGCTCCCCACCGAGGCAGAGGCTGATGTGTCCTGCGCTCTTTGTTTTCAGATGAGTCATTCAACCCAGGTGAAGAGGAGGAAGATGTGGCCGAAGAGTGAGTTTGGGCTGCACCTTGTCGGGCTGAGAGGGTGTCCTGTGAGTGCAAGGGAGCAGGAGTTGTCTGGACATTCCTCGGGTCCCGGCCTGAGCCATTGACCCGCGGTGGAAAGGGGGCAACCTCCAGTGAGGTGGCGCCCATGAGAGCGTGCATCAGAAGCAGCAAGGGCTTTGTCTAGGTGCGAGGCACGCCTAGAAGCTGGTGAGTGGGGGAGCCAGCTACTTCCTTGCATCCTAGTTGGGAGGCCTGAGCTAGACGATTGAGCCTGTTTCCGCATCTGTACAATGGCAGTCATTCCCTTGCTCCCTCGTGTTGTGTTTGTTAGGGCTCTTTGGTTGCTCATGTCAGAAATGGAAGTGAAACAGAACGAGTCAAAGGAGATTTTGTGTAGCTGGCTGCAGATGCTATTAGCCACAGGCTGTGAGGAGTCTGGGTTTCTGCCCCCCCCCCGCTCCCCCAGGCGGTGCCCAGTGGCGGCCCAGCTCTGGGCAGGCTACGTCCCACTGGTTCAGCACCATGTAGGGAGCGAGTGGGTGGCAGTGCACCACCTCCGGCGTATGTTAATGGTCAGGTGTGCGGGGTTTGGTTCTGCACCTTGTGGGAGTTCGTCTCCTTATGCGCCTGGGCTGTGGATCAGGTTTGCTGTGTTCTGGTGGGTGCCACTACTGGCTGGTGCCCACCCTTAGTCTGCGACTGGTGGGAAGCTCACGAACCAAGTCGGGGATGAGTGGCTCCCAGGTAGAACTGCTGGGCAGCAGAGGGCCCGGCTGTCCTCCAGCTCTGTGCCCCCGACTTTGGAAGGGCAGCAGTGAAGCCTTGTGAAAGTGCCCGCACAAAGGGTCAGCCCCAGAGGAGAGAAGGCGGCCCAGCGACAGCTGAGGAGGCTGTCTGTGTGGGCAGGCCGTCAGTTACTCACTAACTTGTAAGGGACCCTGGAGGCAACTGGGTAAAGCGTTTGGCTGCTTATTGGGAGGGCCCAGTTGGAACCCATCAGTGGTGGCAGTGTGGCCTGTATGAGTTGGAATCAACACGGGGGGCCTATGGGGGTTTCCCGTTTATTTTTATTTACTTATTTTATAAACTCTTTCATTCATCCATTTTCTAACTTAACTCATTCATTCATTTGCTTTTTTCACGCAGTTTTTATATTTTTATTTTACTGGGGGCACATCCGTTGGGTCAAGCACATTTGTACATATGTTCCCGCCATCCTTTTCAAAACATTTTCTTTTGGTATCAGCTCCTCATTTTTTTTCCTTCTCTCCCACCCTCATGAACCCGTGATCATTTATAAATTAATATTTTCATATCTTACACCGTTCACTTCTGTTGTTTGTCACCCTGGGTGGGGAGTTACATGTCGATCGTTGCAATCAGTTCCCACTTTCTCCCCTACTTTCCCTCTACTCTCATGGTATTGTTACTTCCACTGTTCCTCAGGGCTTTATCTGTCCTGGATTCCCTGTGTTTCCAGCTCTTATCTGTACCAGTGTACATGCTCTGGTCTAGCCAGATTTGTAAGGTAGAACTGGGGTCATAATAACAGGGGGTGGGGTGGGAGTGGGGTGGGGGGAGTGGGTGGGGTGGAGGAAGCATTAAAAAACTAGAGAAATGTTGTGTGTTTTGTCAGTGCTATACTGCACCCTGGCTGACTTGTCCCTTCCTTGTGACCCTCTGTGAGATGTTCAATTGTCTACAGATGGGCTTTGTGTCTCCACCACCCATCCCCACCCTCCAACTCCGTTCACATCAATATGATTGTTTTGACTGATACCTGATCCTGTTGATACCTAGTGATTACACAGGCTGGTATGTTTCTTCCATGTGGGCTTTGTTGCTTCTCAACTAGATGGCTGTTTCTTTAACTTCAAGACCCATCAGCTTTCTTCACCACATTTGCTTATGCACTCACTCATTTTTTCTTCAGCAATTGTGTCTGGAAGGTGAGCATCACAGAATGATAGGTTATTAGAACAAAGTGTTCTTGTGTTGAGGGAGGTCTTGAGTAGAGGCTCAATGTCTATCTGTGACCTTAGTACTTAACGTATATGTACATAGGTCTATATCCCTATCGTTATATTTATATATGCATGTGCCTGTATTTAGACCTCTATAAATGTCCTTTGCCTTTTAGTTCTTAACCTATATTTCCTTTCACTTTTTTCCTGACCCACTATCATGTTCGACCTTCATCGGCTCTCAGTAATTCCTCTTAGCTACATTGCACTTGATGAATCCCCTCCAGGCATCCTACACCCTCCTCGCCATTGAATTTTTGATCACTTGTTCACTTATTTTTTTGTTTTAAACTTGGTTGGGCTGAAAAATTGGATTTCCCAACATTCGATAGCAACAAAACTCTATCCCTTTGGAAAAGACTAGGGCATATTAAGGGCGCTAACCCACAGAAAGTGGTGATGGGGGTTAGATTTAGACCAGGCTGAGGTAGTGCTTCTGGCTGAGTTTCTGGGGACGTGGGGGTGGAGATGGGCCAGGCCTGGGCCAAGAGGAGTAGCTGAAGCTCATTCGTGTGTTCGTTTTCCCCTTGTGGGACCTGCATTTGGGTTCTTGCTGTGTTGAGGGTGGGGGCCACTGTTCTCCATCCTGAGCCTGAGCCCCCACTCTTCGCAGATTTGACAGCAATGCCTCTGCCAGCTCCTCCAGCAACGAGGGTGACAGTGACCGGGAAGAGAAGAAGCGGAAACAGCTCAAGAAGGCCAAAATCGCCAAGGACCGCAAGAGCCGTAAGAAGCCTGTGGAGGTGCGGACTCGCCGCCTGGCTGGCGGGTGTTGAGGGAGGCCACGCTCTGTGCCCCCTCTCCTGCTCCCCACCAGTGAGACCTGTAGGTTGGTCCTTTAGGGCGGCCAGAGTAGGGCCTGGAGGAGTATCTTCTTGGTGATCTTTCACTCTGGTCCTTGAGGTAAAATTCAGCTTCTGGGGGATCTGAATGAGGTGCTGGGAGCCTGCTCCAGAGCCCTTTGCCGGGCTTTTTAATCTCAAGTCGGGGCTCCTGAACATTTCCTGGGGAGAACGTGAGTTCTTTGGGTGATGGACAGCTGAGATGTGTGGGCTTTCTTGGTGTAGGTGAAGAAGGGCAAAGACCCCAATGCCCCCAAGAGACCCATGTCTGCATACATGTTGTGGCTCAATGCCAGTCGGGAGAAGATCAAGTCAGACCACCCTGGCATCAGCATCACCGATCTCTCCAAGAAGGCAGGCGAGATCTGGAAGGGCATGTCCAAAGAGAAGAAAGAGGCAAGTGGCGGCAGAGATGGGGAGTGGGTACTAGGCTGGAGGGAGGCTGTGAAACTTAACTGAGAGCCGGGAGGGGGCCAGTGGTGGACCGCTTCAGTCTGTACACAGGAGGGTTTCCCTGTGCCCAGGGGAGGTCTCATTCATTCTTCTTGCTGACTTTCCCTTGTGCTTACGACTGTGTGCGACAGGAGTGGGATCGCAGGGCTGAGGAGGCCCGGAGGGAGTATGAGAAAGCCATGAAAGAGTACGAAGGGGGCCGGGGAGAGTCTTCCAAGAGGTGAGTGTCCGGAACCAAATGGCCCAGCAACTGCTCTTTTGGCTGATGCTTCTTTGTAGTTCAGAGTTGAGAAGTGGGGTGTTCAGGCAGTGGCTCTGCCTCCCACTGCCTTAGGCTAGTGCATCTGGGTAGGCAGCTGCCTGAGTGTGGGTCACAAGCTAGAGCCCTCCTGACCCATTCTCCTGGAGGATCATTTTTGTTCCAAGGAACGGAGAATCAGAAAACAGAATCATTACTCTTAAATATAATGCCTAGTTCCTGTAAGGTTCCCCCCTCCAAAGATACAAACAGAGATGTCAGATAAGTGCTGTATAGGGGACTGCCTCAGGCTGTGACACCTGGCTCTTCTGGCATGTTTTCACATGTGATGCTCTGTCTTGGGGCCCCTGGCTGGCTGTTTGTAGTGACATGGACAAGGTGGCTGGGACCAGGAAAGGGCCCTGCTTGAGCTAGAAGTTGATGACGAGTGTGTGGTGGGTTGGGGGTGTGTGTGTGTGGGGTGGTGGCTGATGACAGGAGGAGCCTGAAAGCCCTTTGTGCCCTAACATAGGGACAAGTCAAAGAAGAAGAAAAAAGTCAAGGTAAAGGTGGAAAAGAAGTCAACACCTTCAAGGGGCTCATCATCCAAGTCATCGGCGAGGCAGCTGAGTGAGAGCTTCAAGAGCAAAGAATTCGTGTCCAGTGATGAGAGCTCATCAGGAGAAAACAAGGGCAAGAAGAAGAGGCGGGGGAGCGAGGTACACCAGGGGTCTGGGCTGTGGGGCCATGCTGGGTGTCTAGAAAGTGGTGGGAGGCCTGGTCTCTTGGTCTGGGGTTGTTCTGCAAGCATGGGGAGGTGCAGAGGTGGGCTTCTGAGGTCCTGAAGGTGGGTGCTGGGGTTGTAGGGAAGGGGTAGGGAATTGGGGGCCTTTGGCCACTGAAAAGTGGCTAAGAGGGTAGGGTGTCCAGGGCTTTGCCTCTGAAGAGACCTTTGGTTTTCAGGACTCAGAAGAAGAGGAACTAGCCAGTACTCCCCCCAGCTCAGAGGACTCGGCGTCAGGCTCGGATGAGTAGCGAGGGGAAATGTCTCCCTGCTTGCCCAGTCACACTCCAACAAATCTCCCCACCCATGTTTTGGTACCAGCTTCTCCCCATCACTTGGATTTTGGGCCACCTGTGCAAGGTCTCTTGGCAGAACGCACTTTGCCGGGGTGTAGGTATCCTGCTGCTTCACAAGATGGTTCTTTTCATCTGGGGAGAGAGTGGGTGGGAAGCAGGGCAGTGCAGGCTCCAGGACCCCCGGGCCTGCTCTCCTGACCTTGCAGGTGTGCTGCCTTCAATACCTGTGTGCAGCGGGGGGCATGTGAGGATGGGCCTGGGGCTCCTCCTGGGGGCCTATTTCTACTTTTATTTTGTATTTCTGGTCTGTGAAAATCATTTAATAAAGGGAACTGACTTTGGAGATCATGTCCTGCTGCCTTCTCTGTGGCCCGGTTTTCCTGGTCTGTCTGCCACACTGCCCTGGCTGGGCAGGGCTTAGCCGAAAGCCGGGAAGCAGGTCTCCAGGTACAGCCCGTTCTGTTCCCAGCTGGACAAGCATTGGTTTTCACGCTCTTCTGCCGGTATGGGCCACCTGAGAGTGTAGAAATGAGAGCTGATCTGATTAGGAAGTCTCTCACAGTTCCACTCCATTAGCCTGGCAGAGGAGGCAGCTTCTGGCTCCATCCTGAATCTATGAGTCAAGGGTCTTCTAAGGGTTTAGATAATTGAATCAAGCATTAGAGAATTGAATTTCACCAGAGAAGTGGAAACTTGAGCCTGGAGATTTGGGGAGGAGAAAAGGGGGAGTGAGTGAGTGAGCATGTCCATGTCTGATGGGGATACAGGAATGATAAGATGTGTGTATGTAAACTTATATTCTTGAGGAGGTGGGGGGTGCCAATTTGGGAGGTTGAGAAGCACCAAAGGAGGCCTAGCAGGAAGGAGATAGCAGGTAAACAGGCCACCAGTCTTCCTACCAAGCCCACTGCAGTAGAATCGATTCCAACACAGCGACCCTGTAAATTGAATGGCTGGTGGGTGGATCTCTGAACGCTTGGATCGCAGCCGACTGCTTTAACCACTGGCCTACCAAGGCTTTCACCAGGCAGCTCTAAATTACACGTGTAGGGCAGCCACGTTGTGTACGTGCTCAGGAGGACTCCGGGTGGCAACAGGAAACCACTCCAGTCCGCCAAAAGCTACTTTCTTTCTACCCCGGACTCTATGGTGCGGCCTTGCGTACAGGCGCCTTGGCCGCGCAGGCAGCCTCTCTAGGCGGTCGTCTTGGTGGCCATCTCATCCCAGCGCTCCTAACGGCCGAGTTGCATCAGTTTCTCGGCGGCCCGGGCTGGGGCGGGCCTCTCATTTGCAAGCCTCATGAATAATTGAGTATCAGGGCTCCGCTGTTTGTCGAATCCCGGGCGAGCTCCGCCTAGGCTTCCCACTACCGAGGTTGCAGGCGCTCATGAATGTTGATGAGGCGCTCTGGGGGCGTGTCCGTGGGCGGGGCGAGAGGCGTGGCCCCGCCAAGACTCGCTCTGGCTTGGTCCCGCGGTGACGGCGGCGGCGGCGGCAGTGGCGGCAGGGACTGGCGTCGGGGTGCCGAGAGGAACGGAGCCAAATCCCCCGGGAGCGCGTGAGTGAGCGGGGGCGGGCGAGGGAGGAGGCGGGCCCGGCCAGGGGCGGGGGAGGGGCATGGACGAAGCGGCGCCTTGCAGCCGGGGACCTCGAGGTGAGGCGGAGCGGTGGTCTCCGGGAAAGTTTGCAGGGGCCCAGGGCCGCGGGGGAGCGGCGCGAGGGGCGAAGGGTGCAAGGCCTGGAGCTCTTGCTGGCGGTGCCAGAAGAAAGGGGGGAGGGGTCGAGGCCCTGGGGCAGGCCGAGCTGCTGGGCG